AAGTCTCCACTATTGAAAGAAAGCAACATATTTTCCTCCAATTTATTTCAGTTTATGCAGGACATTTGAGTTCTTATTAGAATTTATTTATTTGGGTCACTGGATTTTGTGTCTAATGTTTTTGGATTAATAGAAAAACATACTGTGCAACCACATTGGTCCAAGGCTTCCCCAGTGAAGCTCCCTCTTTCCTCAGCTGCCCAACCCATCTCAACAAAGCAGACTCCTTCTGGAATTCAGAGATTATTTAATATCTGATTCCCCTCCTTCCTTATTGTTAGTTGGTGAATTTCTGAATCTGTCTTTTCGAATGCATTATAAATATCCTCCATCCCCAAAGAAGGGGAGGTTTGAGATCCCATGAACTTTTCCCACTATATTTGAATAAAATGGAGTAGAAACTCTTTAAAGGTCTATTGAGAAATCATAGGAGTGAGGGAAAAAGCCATTAGCAAAAAGATAACAGGAGAGAAATTATTGCCTGAAAAGAAATATATATATGTATATATGTATAATTTTACCTGTTGCCGTTGAGTCAATTCTGACTCATAGCAACCCTGTAGGACAGAGTAGAACTGCCCCATAGGGTTTCCAAGGAGCGGCTGTGGATTCAAACTGCCAACCTTTTGGCTAGGAGCTGAGCTGTTAACCATTGTCCCACCAGGGCTCTGTATTATCTATCTATAGTTTGTTCGTATATATATATATATTAGAAGAAACAATATTATCATAGCAATGAAGGAGACAAAAACAAGAAAAAAAAATGACCTATAATCCCTTTAGAAATCAACTGTTTTAGCTCTTTTACCTTTTCTGTGATTTCTTCCGGTAGAGGAGACAGTTTTATTAATCCTGGCTTGGAACTCTAATTACTGCATTTTGCTCTTTCTAGTACCCCTTTTCCTGGGAGCCCAGCTCCATAGCCCTCTTCTTTAGGAAGCAGAGCTTGAATCATTCCACAGGTGTCTGTTCCGTCCTGCTTGATAACCTCTCAGGGCTTCTAAATCCTATTTGTAAAGCATTTTATTGTCGTATTGATATAAGACATGTATAGATATAGATATAAGTAGTAAAGAATCTTGATCAAATACCCATTGTTGCATGAAAGTGTATATAATCAGCAAATGCCTGCTTTTTATTTCTGTAAGTAGTTAGTCATCTTTTTCTGGTTTTCATGTCCATATTAATGCTAATTATTCTAGAATGTAAGTCCTAAGCAAACATAACTCTATCTCTTTAGCTTATATAACGTACTGTACACAAAGTTGAGCATATATGCTTGCTTAATATTATAACATTATTTGATGATAAGGTGCAAAATAAGTCTTAGCTGAGGAATTTAACAATCTTAAAAGTTTACTCAGTACGATGCCTTCAGGTGCTATCTACTAAAAGGAAAAAACAAAACAAAAGGAAAAAACAAAAGCACGTTGTTAAGATGTGTAAATTGTTCTTGGGTGAAGGAGGTTAGTGTATATAATTGGGTTGAGCTGTTTTTGTTTATAGGGCTTCTGTAATTTCCCTGTGCCAGATTCGGAGTCAAAAAGAAAAATACCAAAGTACTTAGGCAACAGCTGTTCCCAGTCCTGCAGGGTAGTAATATAAGCCCAGGGATGTACTCATTCTTGTCGTGCAACGATGCTCTTTGGCTATCAAACCCCACATTCTTCTATAGTGCCATTGTAGTGAATGTCCTTATAAAAACAAGTATTAGTCATCAAGGCTGTTTAACAGGTATCTTGAAGGAGCAAAAAACGATTATGACATCATGTGTGGTTCCTGAAGTTTTCTCTGAAGTAGTCCTCTGATCTGATTTGCCTTACTGAATATATTTCTAAACCGAACTGTGTACTTCCTGCTTTGTAAAATAAGAGTAATACTGTAGGTAGTCTTTCTATCTTCTGTGGGTTTCAATGATGTCAATCAGTCAACTCTAAAATCAGATTTAATCAACCTAAATGACATGGCCGTATATTATAAAACTTTCTTTTCATCTCAGCTAGTTTTCAAATTTTTATGCCATGTTGGAAGAAGTGGGCTAATATTACGGAAAAACAAATAATACCCAACTGTGTACTTGGTAAAACATTAATGAAAAAGACTCACTTTACCTAATCTGAAAACATATTTAAAATAGACATTTATCAAAACTGTATAGTATTGTGTTTTAAAAAAACTGATAAAATGGAATGACATAGAAATCCTAGAAATTAAAGGCTATTTAATCCTGTAGAAGTCAGAGCAGAAATAACACAATGGTAGGGAAAAGAATCACTTGTCAGGTATTTATTTTGGTATAGAGAAAAACTGTACCCTACATACAAATGCAGAATGTATAGCAATGGAAGGAGAAACAGATGTAAGAAAAATAACATACACCAATGTATTGAAAATACTTAAAATGGATACATATATAGTAGATGAATATAGTGATACACACTTAATAGATGTGCAAATAAGTTGAATGCTGTGAAGAAATCTTAAATCATTTTACCCGACAGGTGGATTCTTACTTACCTTTTGAAAGTTTGTTCAAATAACACCTTGTCAGTGAGCCTTTCTGCACCCGTCTGCTCCTGGGTGTGGCTCAGCTTTAGTTCCTGTGGCCCTTTAGATACACTGAGGCTGGCAGCTCTCTTAACTGCTTCCCTGAAGGCTGTCACAGGGGCTGTGTCCCACCTGTCTTCATACAAACAGTGGGACTTAATACATGGGCATATCTGGTGAATTAAATGAAAATTGATATATTTTGGGGAAGGGTCATTAATCTACAAGGGTCCAACTGTTTGCAAGACCCTTGTGATGTGAGTATGGGGATCACTGTCTAGGGGAGGGGTGGAAAGCGAGCACACATTACACTAGGTGGAGGGAGGAACAAATGAAGTGCCCCCAAATCCTTGAGGAATGAGAGTTCATTCCTAGCGTGTGTGCAAAGGAGGGCTTCCTGGGAAGTGTGGCAGTTGGGCTGCCTTTGAAGGATGGGTAGCAATTTGACCATCAAAAGTGGAGGGAGAGGGCAAAGAGGAGCAGGGGGTGGTATTGGGGAAAAGGTGGGATGGGAAGTATGGGGGCAGGGGAATGTTAGGTGTGTTCATGCGGGTGTCTGGTTGCTATGCATGAGCATGTCATAGATGATTTGCTACACCCACTGTGCCTTAGGAATGAAGTCTGCAGGAAGGACATTTTTGAGTCAAAGCAGGGCGATGTAAGTGTTGCCTTTATCCTTGTCCTTTTTTTTTTTTCTTTTTCTGATATGGTAGCAAAGGGGGGTTTTGATTCTTTGACACAACTGATTTGTTAACGTACATTATTTGCGACACTTCTGTGAGCTATTCTAATCTTTAACACCTAGTGAATGTGATTCACGTTTAGATGGGATTATCTTTGTATTTCGAGTTAAGGCACGATAATGACAGGATTTGTAAATGTGTGACTTTTAAATAAAGGAAACATAAACTCTCAGTACTCACAAAGGACCAGATCCTAAGTGCTTTCTGGAGTTTTACTGTCACATTCTGCTGATACATCATTTAGAGAAAGTTTCAGTTTCGGATGAAGAGCAGAGCACAGACGTGATTTTTCACTTAGGTGTGCAGAAAGAATTGGGTTAGCTTGTGCACAAAATGGGCTGAAATCAAGCTTTAATTAGCTAGACTTTTGCATAATTCATCATGTTCATTTTAGAAGTCCAGCAGACTATGCTTCTGATTTTTATCACACTGCATTCATTTTAAACAAGTTGTTGTCTTTTATTCTTTCCTTGCTGAACAAATATTTAGATCTTCCCAGAGAAGCCATGACAACTCACCTAGTCTCCTTTTAATGAATTGCCATATAAAGATACATAAATGAATCGATACACAAAGAAGCTGTTCTTATTAAACATCACTCTTGATATGAATATAGTCAGTTTTAAAGACAGGAAAGTTAGCTTAATTTCTTTCTGTCTTTTTGAATCTGTAGGCTGTCCATCTGGCCCAGGCAAGCTTCCAGATTGAAGCCTTCGGCTCCAAATTCATTCTTGACCTCACATTAAACAAGTAAGTCTTTAGTCATAACCTTGTTAAGAAGTAAGTGGTAAAACTTCATGTCCCTGATATTGTTTAGTTAAAATAATTTCTGTTGTTGACACAATTGATATTTTCCATCTGATTATATGCCATATAGCACTTAAAGAAAAAAACGTAAAAGAGTCTGAATAGAGTTAATTCTCCCTTTTTTCTCTTTTCCTGAAAGAAAAGACATTCAACATTTTACGTGTTAAAAATCTCAGATGAAGAGGGCTTACTATCCAGTACTTAGATACTATGTTTTTAAATGAAATAAATATTTTAGTAATGCCAGTTTATTAAATGTTAACTATAGTAACCATTACTGTATATGAGAAGGGGCTAAATTAACTGATTCAAGTATAATTAGACCTAAGTCTAGAAATTTTTTTCTATTTTACCTTTCATTATGTAATTCACCTGACTTATGTCTGAAGAACAAAGAAAGTAATGACTTGTAAATACCTATTTAGAGAAGGCTCTTTGCTTCATAACTTGCTGTAATGTAGCTTCTTAGAAATTCTGATCCTGATGAAAATTTCCCCAGTTTTCTCAGAGACTGTGTTTATGTTGATATTTTAACTTTATTTCCTAAGTTGGAACCAGTTGTACAAATGTCTTTGTACAAAGTGTGAACGAGAGCTGTCAACTTGACCAGGCCTCTTCAAATAGAGCTAGCAGTGGGCCTTTCTTTATGAAAGAGATTTTGTGTATAGTTTATTTTAGTTACAGAAATGCCAGTCAGTATTTCATTTTATTTATTTTAAAATGTAGATTCTTTTTTGTTTTTAATAAATTTTTTTATTGTGCTTTAGGTGAAAGTTTATGGAGCAAATTAGTTTCCCATTCGACAGTTGGTACATAAAGTGTTCCACGACATTGGTTGCATTCCCCACAATGTGTCAGCACTCTCCCGATTTCCGACCTGAGTTCGCTGATTCCTTCCATCGGTTTTTCTACCCCTTCCTGCCTTCTCATCTTTGCTTTTGGGCAAATGTGCCCTTTTGATCTCACATAATTGATTGTTCTAAGGAACACGTTCCTCTTGGGTATTATTGTTTATTTTATGGGCCTGCCTGTTATTTAGCTGAAAGGTGGTCTCCGGCAATGGCTCCAGTCAGTATTTTAAATTCTCATCATTATTTTGACCAGGACTGTATCTTTGCAAGAAAAGTACTGTTTAATGCCATCAGACACTATAATGTAGGTGACTGCTGCCAATATCTGAGAAATTGCAAATAAATATGAAGAACAGCTATTTAATTTCTTGTCTGCCAAGTTCTGTGAGCCCTGCGGAAAAAAAAAAGCAGAGTCAGCTGGGGTGTTCCTTACTCAAGTGTTATTGCAGTTTTAAGTCAGAATGAATCAGCACAACTCAGAATTTTCCGTGTTAAAAGTATTGCAGGTTTTCGTTTTTTGGTCTGCTGAGCGCTGGTTGAGTTACTTTTCCCTGTGCTGTGTCAGCAGTGTGCCTGCCTAAAAGGTTTGTCTTGCCAAATCTTAGACTATGTTGAGTAGCAAGATATGGCTAATTTTAGTTTGTTTCAGTCCTCTGTTCCTTTAACTCTTAACTGCAGTGGAGACTGTCATTCCAGACTATAGCACAGTGCTAGCAACCAGCACTGCTGTGTTTTTTGAATATTAAAACATCACTGTCACTGCAGAGCTTCCCAATTAATCAGCAGATGACTGAGAAGGGGTCACATGGGATGTTCAGAGTACAGAGAGTCTGGAAACACATCAGAAAATTCTTTGCCATTAACATTTAACATGCCAAGGAGTCAAGTTGACCACCTACTCTCTGCCTTGAGGAGCTTACAGTTGAGTTGGGGGAGATTGATAGGTAGATATGAATTTTAGAAGAATGTAAAGTGTGCTGAATAGAGGTTAACAGGGAATACCATGGTAGCACCAAGGAGAGGCAACTTTGTAGCCTGGAGGAGTGTGAAAAGGCATCTTGGAAGAGGTGATCCTTGAGCTGAATCTTGGAGAAAAACTACTAGTCAGGAAGCAAAATGTTGGGGATGGGAGGGAGGGGAGGAAAATAGAGAAGGGTATTCCAGATGGAGGAGATTGTGTGTGCTAAGGAGGTAGGGCCATGGAGTGGTGTGGTATGTTAAGGGAGCACAAGACTTTTGCTGAGCTTCAGATTTCAGTACAGGACTGAGGCAGAGGGAGATGAGTAGGGGAGGCAGGCCTGGGGACAGCTCATCGAAGGTCTGGTATTTCATGTTCACGTGCCTGGCTGTTATTCCCTAGACTGTGAAAAATCAAGTAAGCGGAATAAACAGAGGTCCTATTCTAAGGACGTGCTAGGAGGCATGGAGAAGAGAGGGTGCTGTCAAGACATCTTCTGTTGGTAAGCATCATTAGGATTGATTAGATATAGATGGCAAGGCAGAGAAAAGAGAGCTGACAGAGGTGCCTTGATTGGA